TATATATATATATATATATTTTAAATAAGTTAATAAATATTTTAAATTTTTTAATATAACAAAAATATAAGTTTAAATATATTTGATATATATATATTCAAATATATTTGAATTTATATTATTATGTTTTCTTTATTGAAAATATTTTTAATTAAATAGTAAATATATTTACAAAATAATTATTTAATATTATTATAATTATATTGGTTGATAAAAAATAAAAATATAATTTTAGAGGTTAATAAAAATTTAAAATGTAAAATAAAAATAAAAATAAAATCAACTGCTATTATTTTTAAAATAATATCAACTACTATTATTTTTAATTTTTAACATCCGTCAAATGGTTGGATTCCTTTGAACAAACAGGTTTCTGATGAACCATCAGAAGTCAATTGTGTGCGTGTATATTAATTTCATATTTGATATATAACAAAAATATTATTATTTGATATATTTTTTTAAATTCATATTTATATATTTTTTTAATATAACTGAAATATAAACTTAAATTCATATTTGATATATGACAAAAATATATTTTATTAATTCATATTTTTTAAATTAATATTTGATATAAAAAAAATATTTAAATGTTTTTAATATAAAAAAATATAAACTTAAATATATTTGATATATATAAATTCAAATAAATTTAAATTTATATTATTATTAATATGTTAAAAATTTTAATTGCAATACAATCTTTTCTATATTTCATATATTTTTAATTAAATAATAAATACTAGTACAATACCCGTGTACTACACGGGTAGTAGTTAAGAAAACTATTTGAAAATTAAATAATAATAACAATAATAGTTTAAAATTAAATATATGTATTTATTTGACTAATTTAAGATTTTCATGCTAATTAATGAGTCGATTGAGAGCTTCCAAAACAAATAAAGGTTATATTAGTCAATTAATATAATTACCAAAGGTTCCTTTACAACATAAGGGTTATTGTAGTCAAACTATTATGAAATTACCAAGTTAGTTTTTCAATATTTTTGGAATGTCCAAACTTGTAATTATTATTTAAAAAATATTATTTTTTATCAAAACCAAGCTACGAAGCATGTTTTTTCGCCAAGTAGGATTTCGAAGCGTGCGAGATTGCCACTTAGGCTCGGCGCATTCTATAATTATATATACAGGGGATATTTAGAAAATCGTCATTTAATTTTATTATAGTTATAGTGGTTGATAAAAAATAAAAATATAACTCTAGAGGTGAATAAAATTATAAAAAAATAAAAATAAAAAAAGAAAAGTTATTTTATATATATCAAATATGTGAAAATTGCAAATTTAGTCCTACAATTGCAATTTTAGTCCTGAGAGTTAACGGTGACTTAACGGTCAGTTAGATTTGAGACCAATGGCGCAACAAAAATTAGTTAAGGACTGAAACTGCGCCTCTTGGAACCAAAATTGTGACCGTCTTAATCTAACGGGACCAAATTTGGAATTTCCTCACTCAATTTGTCATTCTTTTAATTATTTTACAAATTTAAATGAAATAACAGAACTTGTTGTGACCAATAGTTGAATAACTCATCCAGACTTTTGAGTTTATTAAACATGACTAGAGGCAAGTTTCCACAATTTTACACGAGCCGGACTAGAGGGGAGGCTTTTGTTCGTTTTTTAAACAAAACTAGTTGAGTCGACTCCTTTATCAAACAAGCATGGATTCGAACATGGGGTACTCGCCTTGAATAATACCTCTATATTTGTCCATTTACATCATGTTAATTTCGTATATGAAA